CTTTCATCTTCTCACTAAACTCTCAGCTGTTTTTTTTTTGGTATTACAAAGTCTCAATTATTTCTCAAAGTTATAGAAAATAGTGTGAAAATAAGATGTATGCTGTGTCGTTTACTATGAAGATCACTGAAAAGTGCATGAAAGGACAAAATTCTATGTCACCATTGGCTAATGTTCACCTGGAATAGCCTGAAAAGATGGGATTTCTTCTTTTCCAGGTAAACACCCAGGCATGTTTATCACCTTGAGGTATTTTTTCGGAGGTGTGAGAGTGAGGTGTTGTGAATATGTCAGCGTGTGTAAAAAATTGGGATTGACAACAGGAAGCAGCTACATCCCATTTCCCTCCTCTCCTTAAACCTCCTGTGCTTTCTTCTTCCACATGACTGCAGCTTTCTGTTTGCTGTCTGATCTTTTAGCTTCTGCAGTGTGTTATTTTTTTTTTTCCTCACAGTCGTTGTGGCCCTTCCTTCCTCTTCAGCTTCAGCTCCCTATTTCTCGTCTCCTTGTCTGTCTTTTTTATTGAATTTAGATCTTACCAAAAACTGACAGAAATATTTATTTTTCCTTTTCTTCCTTTCTGACCATCCTTTACCATCAATCGTGTTCTTTTGTTCTCTCGCCTCATTTCCTTCCTTCTTCGTTAGCATAAGACCGAGTAAAGCGTCTGTTAGGCTGTCAGGCAGCATTGGGGAAGGATGGGAAAAGTGTTCCTGTGTGGCGTCCATCACGGGGTTGGTGTATCCATCTCCTGATACAGCTGAATAATTAATTAAGACAAATTAAAGATGCATGAAAATTTAGATCCTGAATCACATGCGCCCTAATTTTGAGTGCATACTAACCAAGCTCAATAATGTCTATTCCAGGATTTTCTCAAATGGATATTTGCTACTTTTCTGGAGGCTGAACTTAAAACAATACTCAGTCGTTGTGTCCTCTGTTTATTAAACCGAATAATGAGAACAAAACGTCAGCTTCAGGTTTTCTAATGAGACATCTCATTATGTACAGATCTAATTATTAAATCAAAGTAAATAGTTCTTGAAGTCATTAAACATAATGAGATGCATGTTTAGTGTAGGATGATTTAATGATATAATCTGCAGAAGCTGTTTGCTTATTTACGTCATTATGACTTTAGGACTCCTCCAACCATCATTTGCCATATGGTTTTTGAAGAGGGCAGTAGTCACCAGCCTTAAGAACTACAATCATTCACTAAAATGGTTAATTTGACTGGAGACTGTTCTGTGTAAACCTTATTATCTATGAAAGCTCATCTAGATTGCACAAAGAGGAGAGGAAACTACTCTTATCACTGGTTCTTCTGTTATTGTTTATCCCTTCTTTTCCTTGAGGCGGAGCAATTTTATTTGTAAAGTGGATTTTACACAGAAAGACAATTAAGACCAGTCCTGAGCTATACCATCCATCCATTCTCTTCCACTTATCCTTTTTCAGAGTCGCTGGGGGGCTGGAGCGCTGGCGAGAGGCAGGGTACACTCTAGACAGGTCACCAGTCTGCTGCAGGGCTAACACATAGACACAGACAACCATTCGCACTCACACCTATGGGCAATTTAGAGTTACCGATTAACCTATCCCCATTAACTGCATGTCTTTGGACTGTGGGAGGAAGCCAGACTGCCCAGAGAGAACATGCAAACTCCACACAGAAAGGCACCGGCCTGATGGTGAAATTGAACTCAGGACCTTCTTGCCATGAGGCAACAGTGCTACCCACCGTGTAGCACACACGTGTGATATACGTCACACTAAAATTCACAAAATCTCTGTCAGTCCTAAATGATCAGGAGTTGAATCCAAACTTGACATACAGAATTCAGAATTCGTAGTCATCATGTGGGTCATGTGCCCTTCAACTAGCATACAGAGTTGTTGGGGTGAACGGAGAAAGACAGGAAAAAGACAAGCTGTGTAAACATAACATTAAAATTTGGATTTAAATTAATGCCGTCAGCATTAATCTTGTTAAAATGACGTTAATGTCATAACCGCATTAACGCGGATCGTCCCTAACGCGTTAACGAGCTAACCGCGCTAACGTGTTGAGGCCGCGTTAACTCGCTAACGGAGATTTGCCGCGTTACTGCAGTTATGGCGTTAACGTCATTGTAATGAGATTAACGGTGACAGCACTCATTTAAATATATCTAAAGACTTAAAGTCCTCTGGAGAATGTTGTTCTCTGCTGAACAGTTTATCTTCATGTTGGCTAAAACCAGATCCTCACATGTTCAGTTTGTCCCCGGTCATCAAATCACCTAAATGTGTTGGGCTGGATTTTCCTCTTTTTCCTTTTGCAAAACTAAACATAATGAGATGCATCGTTGGGAATTAACAGTGTGGTGATGGTGAGATAAGACAGTTTACAACAAGACACACATGCTTAATGTTTTCTGTGTACATAAACACAAAGATTTTTATCTCGAGTAGTGTAGATAGTGTACAGTAGCAGGCCTCTTAATCAATGTACACTCAACTTTATACAATTCGGTTAGTGAGCACTTGATAAAAATCATGCTATCTAAAGTTGTGAGCAATTACTAAGTGACTCCGAGCTCTAATCACAGTCGATCACATTTCATCGTGGTGAGAAGCCGTTTGATTCTGACATAATTTCCAGACTCGCTGATTATTTACTCACTGATGTTAAAGCACATTTATTGCTGGCCTACAGTTTGCTACCTTGACTAATTCTGGAGTCGTTTTCTTTTTATAATCTTTGCCTGAAGATAAGAAAAGTTATCTGTGCCAGGCTCGAAGCTATTTTTATCTCAGCTTGTCCCCATTTCAGGAAGTTGTGCGTGTTGTTGCTGTTTTGGATTCTGCATCGTATGATGGTTTAGCAACAGCGGATGTTTGACATTAATTTGACATGAAATAAGTGGCTTTGCTTGTTTCATGACCACAAATCCATTTAAATTGAAGTGGCACGGGTTATATGTCTCCATTCCATGTCTGCAGGAATCCTCTGAACTTTTCTTTTGCTTCCTGAAGGTCAGATAGTTTAATAAGCTCTCCTCTCTGACATTGTTTAGACGGTAAACACTGGGATGTTTGTATGGATACAGTCAGAGACCAATAAAGGAAAAAGACCTTGGAAGCTGTAGACATTTGGATTGATGAGCATTAAATATTATATTCACATATTTTTGTAGATTTGGAAATGAGTAAAGTACAGATTTTTAGTTTGTATCAGGCAACAAGGGAAAACTTTTCAAAAGACCAAAGGACTGTGGGTCCTAAATTGTGGAACTTGCTCTCGTCCGACTTATGATGTGTTCAGACCTGCTTGTTGTTTAATACCATCTACTCAAGCTGTTATTATTTTTCAGCTAAAAAGCTAAAGCTTTGTCTCTTCTGCCCACAATAAGTTACTGTGTTTTATTATTTCAAGCACATTGCAAGAGTCCGACCGTGTCTTTTTTAAGCTAATGCAGAGACACAGAGTCACACTTACAGGATTAATCGATCAGATCAATACTCTTCCAGAGAAATCTTGGCCACTGCGTTAACTTCAAAACTCTGCTGCACGTATTGGCAAGGACCAGAGAGGGAGGCCACATTACACCAATTGTAAGGTCTCTGCTGGTTTAAGGTTCCCAGTCACAAAGATATCGTTTAGTTATTGTGCTCCATGTTTATGGAGCAGTCTACCTGATGACCTGGTGGCTGCTCAGACTGTTGAGATTTTTAAAAGCAAACGCAAGACTTTCCTTTTTATTGTATTTTACTTTCATTCATTTACTGATATATTTTCATTGCATTTTTTTTGTTTACCTGTTTATTCATCTGTTATTATCTTTATGCCTTTATTCAGCTCTAAGTCAGTAGGATCAGCTTCTCTCTCATCTGACTTACGGTACATTTGAATAGTGCAGACAAATTTACCTCCTTTCTCTTTTTCCGAATCACTTTCAAATCAGTATCACAGTATGAAGGAAAGGTGAATCTGACTGTGCTTAAAAAAAACCAAATACAAATGGAACTACAGTGAAACCTAATCAAGTTCAAACTAACTTTGATGTAAGTAATTTAGGAACTGTGGGTTGGTGTCAAAAGTCAAATCATACCTGCAGGTCATGGCATGAAATGCAAAAACACATTCTTAACTAACATTGAATTAGCAGTTATGTTATTGTTTTTATGATTGGTTAAATTGCTATGAATGACCTCTTTTACTTGGATAAAGGATGGTCCAGTGTGTCCTCTCCTAAAGGAGGCAATAAAGGAAGCACTAGAGCACCTTTCCTCAGTATCTAGAGCAGCTCTTATTATGGCTGCCACACAGATACTTCTGGGTCACTTCACTCTTAGAGACATTTAGGGTCGGAAACTGTCCATCATTAGTTTTAGATAAGTTTATTGATATCCCTTGATGAGAAGCTTTTGTTCTGAAGCTTTTGCAGCTGACTAACAAGTTGTCATTGATTTCAGTAAGCTGTCTTCTCTTCTACCAGTTCCTACTCCCCTCACACACATATGGTGCCAACAGAGGAAGCTATTACAGAAACTAGTGCAACTATAATTGAATGCAAAATGCATCTGAGACTATTAAACTGCCCTGAAATTAAGACCAAGGCTGTCTGGGTCACACGCTGTCCCTTGAAATGACAGGAATTTGCCCTGCTGTGTTTGCAGTGCAAGTATCCAGCTGCTCTCTCACCCTCTACTCTCTCTGCTTTTGTGGTTGTATTGTTTATTTATCTGTGTCATCAACCCTCGGTGTCTGTTTTCAGAAAAGGGCGGTACAGCTGGTGGATGCGTGAGAGAGGCTTTTGAAGGCAGAATCTGTACCCACATGCATTAATAAACTTGTGTGCGCAAAAATGTCATCAGGACATGAATGTTTCTGAATGAAGGAGGTTTAGGAGATCTCTAATTTTCCCCACAGCCCTCCAAATATCTTATTTCATGAATCCTAGCTTCCAGCAAGAAGGAAAGGTTCACACCTCTTCCCCTTGTGCCCACAGGGAGGTCGCCCAGATTGACCAGTTCCTTCAGGAGACGGCGGCCCGTGAAGCAAACGCTAAGGTACGCTTGCAGCAGTTCATTGAGGAGCTTCTGGACCGAGCCGACCGGGCCGAAAAACAGCTGCAGATCATCAGCAGCTGTGGCACCACGCCGAACGGCAGCCTGGGACGCTGCAGCCTGCAGGCCTCGAAGGGCAACGGACGCCAGGTTAGGATTTTTGAATACACGTTGCTGTAGGTTCACACTATGAAACGTGTGATAGTTCCTGTCAAAAGAAAAAAAAAAATATAATGCATATAATATATAACATATTTTGTGCCATACGTAACAACACCTGATGTACAAATTGGTTTTTAAATATTTAACTGCTCCTTATCACACCGATTGTCGTTGGTTGATTTTCCGATGAACTTTTTCTATGTAATTTTGTAGCACATTTTAACTGGCATATTATTTTAACTGGCAAAAGTAAGTAACATTCTTAGTTTTATTGCAAATAAGTAATGTTTCATTAACACTTAGTAGTGACTTTTTTCACTTCCAGAGACTCTTAAAGACTCCTTAAACTGCAGGAAACTCCACTTCCAGCATTCTGGCAGTCATTAACAGAGCAGCTTGTTGCTGATGAAAAGTACATAACCATAGATTGTATTGATTTATGCCTCTGTAATGCACCACAGCTCGAACCGGTAATAGACTTCAAGATGCCTGAGACAGCAAGTCTACTGTGTTTTACTGAACTGAAGGGTAGTCGCTGCCTGTTTTTCACATATGAGCAGTTGAAATTAAATAAGATATTATTCTGGATTAGTGATGCACCAAATTCTGATATTTTTATTTGGTTTGCTTATTCGGAGCAATTATTACCCCTTCTGTGAAAACATAAGAAACAAAACAAGACAAACCTCTGCCGGCACGTCACTCTCTGGGCAACAATGTTCCCTCTAATTTTTCACGTGTCTGAGCGAACACACAAACTCCCTGAGCGCGGTCCCTTGGACCACTGTGAGCGACATCAGACGTGTGCACTGTGGTCACGCCGGCATGTTATCCATCCAAGTTACATGGTTTATTAAAATAATCAAATTACAGCATTTACATTTATGTTAGACTACTTTTAATTAACCGCTTTAGCCCACTTACAATGAAAATGTAAAAAAAATCTAGTCATTCACCTGTGCAGTATGTTAACACTATTGGAAGTACAAATAACTTGAACTCCAATTTTGAAAACACAAGTTTCTTTCTTTTTAAAAAAAAGCTCTGACTTGTATTATGAGTCTGTGGTCTGGGAGAGAGTCCTGTAGCTCTCTATAGTATATAATGACCAATGCTGGGCAATTAATTATATAGCTACTTCTTCAAAAAGGTTACTCAGTTTGGCAAACAACAAAGATTTTTGCAGCTATGTTTTTTTTAAATGCAGCCAAGGCAGTTTTAAATAAACATTTCAAACTATTTACAGAACAATCAGCTGTTCTGCATCAAATCTGATGCCACACAAATTATTTGTGCCACTTCAAAAAATAATTTCTGTCCACTATGAGATAAAGGAGAACAACAGCCTGGTACCTGCAGGCCTGACAACAGGAGATGTATCACTGCTGTAACACCTGTAACATTCAGCAGTCGCCTCATTGTTCTGACACACACAACAAAACTACACTACACACTAACTACATAAGATTTGCGCTAAACGTCTCAAATCTCTCACATCTCAAAGCACCGCCGTCACTCCTAAAACTTCCCCCCGTTTCTTAACAACTAGATGTCACGTTGCCATATCAGTTTTTTGATTGGTCGACATGGTACTTTTTTGGACGAATAGGAAAGGGAGAGGGGGGTGGAGTTTGTTTTTGCTCACAGGCGGAGAGCGCTTTCAAGCCTTTTTCTTATAAAACGCCGTTTTTACAGTTTCTTCCCGCAGTAAATATAAACAACGATAGTATTCAGCAAGGAAACCAAACATTGCAGATATTTTTATCATAACTCTGGTTTTACGTGGCCTATCAACACGATTTAAACGCTGGTATAAAGTCCACACTTTTTCTGTCAGTAGTTCTGTCTGTCCTGCTCACATCTCCAATGGTTGTCCACGTTGTCATTAATGTGGCTTCACTTCACATCAGCCACGCCGCTTTGTTAGCTAAAACACCGGTGTCGGCACGTAAGGACGCTGTCATAGCCTGTCAACGACGTTGATTAGCTGCGTATATACGAATGTGAATCGCATTATTGGCTGGACTATGGGATAAGGTGGCATCGTTCTAATCCCATACGGGCGCAGACAGTCACTCACTGACTAACACTGCAAAACAGAATTGTTAAAGTATTAATTTTAATTTCAATGCAGGTTAGATTTATTTTGTGCGCAACACAGATTTTCTGTGCGCAGAGACCGTGGCAGCAGTGCGCAATTGCGCACGTGCACAGCTTAGAGGGAACATTGCTGGGCAGTATTTACTTTTAAGGGAATAGTACTGCATTATATTTTAATAGTATTGTAAACTTTATGTAGGAGTAGATCATGGAAATAGGTATTGATTTGTAAATAACTGGACACGAACAACCTGTGCATACTATATCATATTATACTACGGGATATTTCTAGATAACTAGACAGCTCAGTCTCTTTCCTTTGGCAATACTCTCTTATAAATATCTAACATGTTTTACGGTCAACTTGTTAGAAAGGCAGATGTGAAAATTAAAAGTGAGATCAGAGGTCAAACGTGACGTGATATTTGGATGCAAGCTATGTTTAGTCATATTTAGAATCCCCATATTCTTTCCCCCCATATGTTTAAATGTGCAGATGTTTTTATTTAAGGTTATATTGTTTGGATATAAAGTGAGTCCTTATATCGTTGTACAAGAGATAATGTTTTCTATAGATTAGATTTTGTTAATAACCATGTGCTCTATATATGCAAGTGCATTTTATTAATATTGCACATTTATAACCAAAGTGCTTTCAATTAAAATAAAACTGATTAAACAAATTCCTTTCTTCAAAGATATGGGGGTAAGCCTAGCTGTATATATTGAACTGATAATATACAAAGCATTTTATTTTATACTCTATCAGTGTGATCTTCCTTCATCAAGGGATTATTACAGTAGGTACAGTTTTACAGTTGTTACAGCATTCAGCATCAAAGCTGTTGGAACAGTGAAGCTGTGCAGCTCGGTACATCCTGATCAGAAAGTGTGCTCCTATTAAAAAAGAAAACTGGAATGCAGCTCTTCATCTCCAGGCTCGGTGCTTGAACCATGCCTCCTTGCTCCTTTTGTTTTGCCGTATTACACAATGATTAAAAAAAGCTATAAAAGCACACAGAGTCTGTTCTTAATGTCACGTATTCAAATTACTGTACGACACTTATGGAAAAAAAAAAGGGGTCACCTGTTTCACAATGCACTAATGTGTATGCTGCCATGGAAACAGTTCTTGCTCTCGCTCAAGATTTCAGCATGATTTTTTAATCAGATGTGATGTGGTGCAGAGCTGCCTGAGAGGAATCATGTCCTAGGATTACCGTCTCTGAGTGCACAGATGATGTCGGCGTCCTCGGGTTATCGCTTTATAGTCAGGTGACCAATTATAGACAAATCTTCAAAATAAAGTGTTTTACTAAGGAGTTGGGCCACTGTGGCCACATGTTTTCCAAATGATATTCCATTATTGGATGTTATCTGACCAATCAGTCCAAATTCTCCAGTAGCTCTTCACTTGGGTTGAGATCTGGCCGTAGCATATGATTCAACTCATTTTCATCCTCGAGTGAACCTTTCAGGGCATCAGGGCAGACAAAGGGGGTGATTCAGAAGAGTGAATGTATTGATTCAGAGTGATCCTTCTTTCTAAGGTCAGGGCTTTTAAAGTGTGGCTCTTGGTAACATTTTATGCAGCCCACGAACATGATGAGGATAAGAATGCACTAATGCACATTTCATTCATCCGAGTTCATGGCAGACTCTGACAGAACAGGAGAAAACAAGTATTTCTCTTCAACTTCTTCTGCTGTAGTCATCATAGCTCACAAACCTTTCTAACACTGACAAATCCAGCAGGTATCAAGGAACACAACAGTCTCAGAAGAGGTTATAAAAACATTAACACCATAAACCACTATCAACTTACCAGGCAAAAAGCCTGCTACAGTCACACTGTAGCGGAAACACTGATTGGAGACAGTGCCATAATCACGATTATTGCAATAGTTGCAACGAACTTGCGATCTTGTTCCTTTAAAGATGGGAAACAACAGTACTCGCAGTCAGTTTCCATTTTCAAAGTGACTTCTTTTTTTGCAAGAGCCAGTCTGCAATCAGTTTGTGATTGATTGAGGTGAAGTTGGCATTGGCATAGAGTCTGTGTGGTTAATGGGCGATTAACTGTCATAAAATGGTAAAAATTGCAAGTCTGCTGTCATCTGTTGTAAATCTGTTGCAACAGATGACAGCAAGATGCACAGAAATTCACATTAACTGCTCGCATTTAGAGTTCACCCAGAGCCTCATACACACAGAAATTCCTGTTCAGATGGTGACATAGTTACTGCAGGATGGAGATTTAACTGCAAAATGAAATAGGAAATAAACAACCTCGATTTCACATGGGAACATAACCAGAATATAACCAATGTAGGCCCCTGTTACAAGGAGACATGCTGTAGATGTGTTGCGTTCGTCAGTGCAGACTGACTCAGACTGATTGCAATGTGCCGGCAGTTTGAATTTGTTTATAAATGACATGTCGGTTGCTTGCAAACCAGTTGGTTATCCAATCTGTCTGAGAGTTCAGTCAGTCTGAGTTGGACTGTGATTGTTTGGGGAAAGGTTGCCTCCCATCAGGTGAAATGTGCAGTCGCCTCATGATGGAAACTGATTGATACTGTTGCATGTTTAAACACTTGGTGACCAGTTGGTAGCTGCAACTACTTGCAATCGGTTATTTTATATATGATATTTATATACTTATTTTTTATTTACTAGTTGCAAGGAGGTTGCCTTCCTTTTTGTACTTTAGTGTGACTAAATACGAAATCCCTAAATCTGCACTAAGTTAAATGCTTTTGCCAGAGGTCCCTTCCTTCCTGTTAAAAGGGAGTTTTCATTCCCATTTTCGCCATGTGGTTGCTCATAAAAGGTTGTTTGACAGTTAGGGCTTCTCTGTATTATTGTAGGATCTTTAACTTGCAATATAAAGTATCTCAAGGTGATTGTTGTTGTGATTTGAAATATTAGAGAACCACATGACCTGTGAATGACCTGAAACTACCTACATTTAGTCAGTTTCTTGTCTCCATGCTTGTGCACTGTAGGACTATGAGTAATCAGCATGACAAGTACAAGTGTGGAGGCACTAACTGGTTGGCACCTTGTTATACTGTCAAGGGTGTCTCCACCTCTCTATATGGCCTGAGAAAGGTCGCCCTCATCTTCCTACGAGACAGGTTTTAGAGTGACAGGGGTATTTTAGGACTGGTGGTGAGAGAAGGGATGGTTTATCTGCTCACTCTGTTGTTCTTTCCAGGCTGACTGTAATATAATTTTCACAAAGAATGAGAGGAATATACAGCAGCTTTAATCTGACTGTGATTCTTTATTATGTTTTGGGTTTGTAACAGAGAGCAGAAGAGGTAGAAATAGACAAATGCTGACGTTTGGCTCGAATTTAAGTCACCCAAATTGAGTTATACCTCCCGATGAATGCATTTGATTAAACCCATTTCTTGGAGATGTGCTCCTGCTCTGCCTTCACTGCAGTCTGTCCAGGAATGAAAGGCATGGATGATACTCGCCTGTTTCCTCCACGGTCCATTTTCACTGGCAGTGGCCCACAAACAAGCTGTGTGAGTGAAGCAGAGAAAAAGAGAGGGAGCAGAGAGGGAGGGAGACTGTCTGTGTTTGCGCACATTTTCCCTCTGTGGCACGTCGCCGGTTTGGTACACAGAGTTCCACCTGGCATGGCTTCACACACGCACACTTCAGTGCACATGCAGCTTTGAGAACGGTGTGAAAAAGCGACAAGGAAGATTTTGCGCTGGCAAACACAGAGAGTCAGATTGCACACTTACAAGCAAATGCATTTTAAAAACCTGCTCTCAGAGCTGCAACCAAATATTTTAGATTACAGGGTTCTCTCTGCAGTGAGTACAGTGGATAGATAGAAGTATTGATTGCTCAGTCAGTCAGGTCCATCCAGCATTTTGCTCTAGAAAAAGATATTTTGACTACTTTCCATCCATTTTCTTTGGGTTATCCAATTCAGGGCTGCAGGAGTTTGTGCCAGCTGGACAGGTTACCAGTCTGTCGTGTGGCTAATACAGACAAATGATCATGTTACACTCACACCTATTCACGACAATGATCCTGTTCCAATGCCTTGCTCGTGTGTACAGTACAAATCAAGAAAATGAAATGTGATGAAAACACGTCACTGAACCGCACACAATTACCTTTAATCAGAAAACCACTTTTGTTAATCATTCTAGTCATGATTGTATTCTGTTTGACAAAAATCAGAAGTAACGGAGCCTGTTTGAGATACGTTTAGAAAACCTTCCCAGATAACTGCAAAATAGGCGGCGGTTTCATTTTCTATGATTTCATTCCACTTCCAGTGAGATTTTTTTTAAGCAGGCTTCTGTACTCAATTTATTTTTGTAGCAGTTCTAATTTACTGTGACAGCTGTTTGTTAGTAATACATACAGTATCTTGTCCTTCAATTAAATGTCTTGTTGTACTTTGTGTTTTGGTAAAATATGTATGCTCGCATTTCTCCATCATAAAAAAAAAAAGATCAGCCTGTAAAATAATGTTTGAGAATGATGGGGAAACAGGACATTTTATTAATAACACGTTTGATCCGACTCTTTGTTTTCTTTGTGTTTCTCTCTCTCTCTCCAGAGAAACTCGAGCATCTCTGGGAGCACGAGGGGAATGTACCAAGTGTCAGAGCGACGTTCCTCTCCCAGCACAGG